CAGGCAGCCTTCTTGGGCAGTCCACACAGGCCCTCAGAAAACACGCAAACATCTGTGCTCCACTAAAATCTGGATGTGCAGCTTGCTCCCAAGAGAGATCTCTGGGCTCACTATCCACGCCAGGAAAACGTAGCCACTGGCCTTCAGATCATTTTCAGGCCTGAGTCCCTCTGTGCCCCACTGTCCAATCGATTCAAGTCAAGCTCTTGGAATTCTTTTCTGCAATCCCCCTAAGTAGGGTATAGTAAGAGAGAATCAACACCTAACCTTCCCCTTGGCTGGGGGAGGGAGGAGTGGCAACCTTCTCCAGACAGATCTTCACTACCACCTGTTTTTCTACTTGAACTCTCTTATACAGTCTGGTTGTGGGTAATGGACTATTGATCACCCCTTTTCCAAATCTGCAGAAATAGTCTACCATCTTGATTTAGAATGTGGCGGTAGTTGAGAATAGTTGATACCTATCTTTCTTTTCCTGACCTTTGGGGCCTCTGCCCAAATTTTGAGATGGGAAGGGTCCCATTTAACATACTATTACCTATAGAAAGAGCCTAACACGGTGCTTGACACAAGGTAGACATTCACTAACAGAGGTGATGGTGGATGGTCAGACATGTGAATCAATCCCACCTCTGAAATGGTTGGAACCCTCTCCCCATAAGCCAGACTGAAAAGGAATTTGTACCTTCATGTAAGGCTCAAAAGGTAGTTGCCTGGCCCTCCTTATGCCTCATCTACATATCTCTTCCAAATACAATGTTTACAGCCATCGGAGTCCAGTAGCTTCTGTACGCATGCACACACCCAGATCCACAACCCACACTCAGTGACAAATCGCAAGTCCCAGGAGGTCAGGAACCAGCTTAGCTGTTCACGGTGGGGGAAGAGAGCAACGAGTGCTCTCCTGTTCTGAAGTCCCATCTCAGTCACAGTAGATGGAGTGGGGACGTGACCTCGTGCCCGGAGCCCCTGGTGCCAGTGCGCCCTGGTCTGACATCCACGCTGGCCTCTGTCTTGGTTAGTCAGTCTCTGTGCTAATCTAGCTTTTCTATGTTGTGAATATCAGCCTTGTTTGTGGGCGTGGAGATACTCAAATCCACGGATGCACAGAAACACCAGCAGCATGTGTGTATACACAGTCACTTCTTTACTCAGAGGTGCACATGCAGTTACTTTCCTTGTAAAAGTAGAAGTTACAGGAACTTGGAAAAAATGAACTGAGCTGATCTGGGGTGCGATAATGTATTAAGGAAGCATTTATCTGCTTCAAGTCTTTCTCTTGGCCTCCTAGTCTTTATGTCTTCATTCCTTTGGTTGTTAGTTCCCACAAGTGGCACTGGAAAGGATTATAGGGGACACAGGCACAGCCTCCAAGAAATTCCAAACCCAGAAATACAGCATTGAGTCATCATTTTCCAGATTGTAGGCACATACTGAGAAAGGTTCAATTTAAACACAAGGGCAGGGATTGGCAAAAGTTTTCTAGAAAGGGTCTGATAGTAAATATTTTAGGCCTGTGGGCCTTATGGTCTCTTTGCAGTGACTGAACTGCTGTCCCAGCAGGGAAGTAGTCCTAGATAATAACAAACCAATGAGTACAGTTATGTTCCAATAAAACTTTATTTGCAAAAACAGTCAGTGGGCCAGATTCAGCCCATGGGCCTTAGTTTGCCGACCCCCCACACTAGAACCTAAAGAAGACAGAAGCCATCAAAACTGGCTTCACAGGTCTTCCAAACGTTGATAGGGGCTCCATTCTACCTCCTTCAGAAAGGACAAAATACACTGTTTTGGGTGTGGCATCAGTTTTCTTCTAATTATTTTGTGCTGTGCTTAGGTATTTTGATGTTCTTCTGAACGAGTTTTCTCAATCCCTCCTTTTTGTCTTTATTTTTCTCTTTCTGCATATATATCTCTAAATGCTTCCCATTCTTCTTCATTCTGTCCCCTTGCACCCACAGGGTTTGTAGATTTTAGAATGAGACTCTGTCACATCCATCCTTGCTAAAAATCCTGGTTTCATTTCAGATTCCTTACCTGTATTGGAGTACAGAGGCAATGTACAGCAAAGAACACTCATCTGGATCACCGGACATACCACCACCTTGCTGTGTGACTTTGAGCCGATCACCTAACCTCTCTGAGCTTCCCTTTCCTCATCTGTCAAATGAGAGAGTTGGCTAACTGATCTCTAACATCCCTTCTAGCTCTACGCTTGTGATTTTAGGAAGCTGCAGCCTCAACTTGAGGCAACTGTCAGGGGCCATTAATTATAGTGTCACTCACAGACCTTAATGAAACTGCCAGGAGGTCACAGAAATTAACCACATGATCTCTGGTACTTGGCAACCTTCACAGCTGAGGGGGTGGGGATACCAGCTAACCTGAGAGAATCTGAGAACCCAGCCCACTGACAAATGACTCCAGGACCTCTATGCTCCAGGAAAATTAATTTGCATTCCTAAACTGCCACTGAAGTAGCTACAAAATGGGCACAAATATTGACTTGTTGGAAACAGAACCCTAGGGAGCTACGGTTGGAGGTAGGAGGCTTTCTCTTCTCCACTAGACACTCCTGTGTTGTATGGAGCTCTCCTGGCCACGTAAAGGACACCTCTCAAAGCCCACCAAATAAATGTATGAGGAGGTCATAAGGAAATGGAGGCAAATTCCAGCATGTGCCAGAGGAAAGAGGCTTTCTCTGCAAGCAGAGGTGAGAGACCTCAGGGAGGATCAGGGAACCAGGACTCTGGCTGAGGCAGGGGCTGGTGGTGGTTGGCAGCTGAGGTGGGGGCCGTGGGGGGAATTTATACAGCATCATCCCCACTCTCTCAGGCTCCCCTAGCTCATAGCCCAGCGGCTTGTAGATGCAGCAGATGGGCAGGGAGCTGGCACCCTCCCCCCGCTCAGTCTCAAGGGATAGGGAGGGAGTGGAGAAGCCCACATCCTGGCCTCCAGGAGAACAGGCCTTTCTTGTCTGACTCTGCTAAAGCTGCCTCATTTGTAGCCTAAATAATTCACTCACCAAATTCTCAAGGAGCATTAGAAGGAAAACAAAACCCAACCCCGCCTTCACACTCAGGTTCCCACTGCACCGAAGGCAGGCCAGGAGGCCGGGAGGCAGCCCCCAAGCTGCATAGAAGGCCTGCCTTCAAAGGTTCACTGGGACTGGCAACCTTCCAAAAACAGCCCGGGGTCTGTTTTTGTACAGCCCTGGAGCTAAGAATGGTTGTTACATTTTTAAAAGGCTTTTTTAAAAAAACCAAATAAAACACACAACAACAAAGAAAAACATGTCAGAGACTGTATATGGCCTGTAAAGCTTAAAATAATTGCTACCTGGCCCTTTCCAGAAAGTTTGCCAACCCCCTTTGTCCATTCCCCAGTCTTAAAGGAAGAGATGACAACCTCTGACCTACTCCTTGACTCCCCCACTCCCTGACCCCACTATGTGCAGAGATTCAAAGTTGGCAGAGTTCTGATATTTACAATCGAGTGAGAAGCTGGCATCATTTTCCACCCCATTACCCAAACCAGAACTAAACAAAAACAAGAAGAAAAACCCTCGAGTGGGGTGAACAGTCTTGGTTCTGCTGCTTGGGGAAGAAGAGAAAGAAGCAGGGAGGGGCTGAGATTCAGCCTCAGTCCAATCATGGGGGGGTGGGGGGGTCAGAATTCAGCATTGTCCTGGTTGGTCTCTACTGACACCACTCCCGCCGCCCCCCCCGCCCCCAAGCTCCACACCCTCCACACACACCTTGTGATCCCAGCTGATCCCAGCTGATCCTAGCAGTCACTGAGCCTATAATTCTTTTACTGATGAGATATCCAACCAGCCCCTGTCTCTGAGTCCCTGAAGCCTGTGTCGGTCTGACTCTGCCAACCCTCAATCCTGGACAGAGGCTCCATCCAGCCCTGCAAGGCCTCCCCTACTGCCCAGCAGGGCCTTGGAAGGGAGAGGACTGTGACCAGCCCTGGACTCCACCCAGAACCTCTCTTGGAGCCAGAGCTTCTGCGAGTTCCATTCAGCTTAAGCACTCGGGAAGAGATGTGTCAGACTAGACACAATGGAGCTGCCAGCTCAGAGGACCCCGGGTGCGACTGGGGTGAATGATCTCTGGCTGTCATGGGGCCTGGTAGTAATTTGGGGGGCTGAGGGCGGAGTAGAGATCCAGTGGTCCCACATGCTGGCATATAAGTATTCTGGATTACTTCGGGTGACAGGGACCTGTTCTAGAGTCTCCTAAGAGAAATGTTGCTGCTATCCTGCCAGTCCTTTGCAGGTTCCTGTTCTTGAGCTACAAATAATACGGAAGGCCCAAGTTGAATCCCATATCCACGTTAAGCCAAAGGCCTTAGGGATTTGGAAGCCCAAACTGGAAGATCTTGGGCAAGTCATCTTACCTCTTTGGGACTCAGCTTCCTCATCTGTTAAAATAAGCAAATAAACAAAAACCTAAGGTCCTTGGGTGGGGGCGAGTTTAAGGTCCTGTCCATCCCATTCCCAATGAATAGCTCAAACTAAGCCACATCTCCACAGAGCTTTGCTGGAAAGTTGTCTGGCTTCACATCGGCTTTCCTTCCCCAAGTCAACCCAGTCCCAACCAAATGAGATACAGCTGGTCTCTCATGGAGGCGAGGTTTTCCTTCAGCATGTTGGCAGCTTGCTGGGTGTTCGGACTGACATGAGGGAGGGAAGTGGCAGGTGGTGAATGTGACGTCTTGTCTTCGTGCCTTGTGGTGAGGGGGTGGCTGAAGGGCTGTGGGAGTCTCACCCTCGCACCCCCAACATGCCCACAGCATATGGTCCAGAAGCTGTACACAGTCCCGTACCGTTAACGTCAATTAGCTCAATTGTCTTTCAACAACTCTCCAACTTGACTGGACATTCCTCAAGGGCAGGAATTGTATCTTGACCTTCTTCTGGGTCCCCCAGGAGAACCCAGCACAACACTAGGTATGTGGCCGGAGATCTGTCCTTATCTGCTGAGCAACTCAATTGAAATGCCCCTGGAAAGAGTGATTCTGCACTTGGCACAGGGCGTGTGTCCAGGTAAGTGAATCTCCACTTTTGTTGGCTGATAACAATACCATTCTTCAGTCCATGGCTCAGTCAAGCTGTCCTGTCCAGGCCGTGACCCCAAGAACTATCGTGTAACCTAGAGAGCAGGCAATGGAGGAAGGCTGGAGAAGGGAATGCCCAAGACTCCCCAGGACATATAGGTCATATGAAGGTCATTGATGCTGATCCCTTAGCCCTAAAGCAGTGCAGACTGGGAGAGCATGGCTGGCTTGGCCTACACAAACGTAAATCAAGCACACCTCACCACTGCTTGCTTCAGAGTGGCAACCCAAACTGCAAGCACAGCGATCTATGGGCGACCAACCCAAACCTATAAAACAGTGACAAATGTGGTGGGTCTCACTGTCTTCTGGTCTTGACCACACTCAGAATGGCTGTCTCCCTTGCCTGCTTGCAGATAGGAAGCTCCACTTTTTCTTGCTGTAACTCCTTCTGTTCTGTGCTCTCCAAATATGTGGCTCTCTCCAGAGCCCTGAAGGCTGCCTTCTCTTCTCTGTTTATGTGTCTGCTTGTTTGCTCTGTGTGGTGGTGGGAAGGGAGGGCAGAAGGCAGAGTTCTGCCTTGCCCCAAGTGTCACTCCTCTGTACAAAGGGTGATGGCAGAGTCATGCCACTGATTAGCTATGACACACATGCAATTGCTAACGAGTTTGATAAAATTTTAATTACCCCTTGTTCCCTGGGGCAGGCAGCGAACCATGAAAGTAATAATCCTCTTGGGTGCCATCGAAATAAGATAATAAAATGAGTGGAAGATGGTTGTGAGCTGTAGGGAGTTAATCCTGGGGGTTGGGGCAGGGTCTGCAGCAGGGG